CAATGTGTCCCGCATCCGGTGTGTCTCAATGCAGCCGCTGGCCTGAGGCGCATCCCCTCCCGCTCGGGTACGCTATCAGGATCATCATCATCAAGTCGTCTTCTTATAGCCGGATGTGGTGCATGATGACATGTATCGGTGGTGCTGTCAGCTCCAGTAGAAGGCTACATAATAATATGAAACTTAGTATAGAAAACTACATAACAATTCACAACAATTTATATTTTCTTACCATCATCGTCTGTAGATCCTGAATGTAGTCATCTATCGCTGCATCGCATGAAGCCTTAAAAAGGAAATTAATAAAGTTAAAGAAAATAAATAAGTTACAGTTAAAACAAATTCAAATTCAATACTAATAAACGCATACCTGCGCATGTGATGTGGAGCCATAACTCAGTCGGCGCCCACTATAAAAATCTCGGGTCGGTCAATCCTCAATAGTGGTAGACGGGCCTAGGAAGTATCTACCCCAATCTACTCCTTTAATATCCGAGCCCCGTGATCAATAATTGACTCGATGGGGTCACCTGCGATGGCACTAGAGTGAGATATATTCCAAGGCTGTAAGACGGCATGTCCGTCTCATGCATGCCACCTGCCATATCAGCAGCAACATCATTAGCAGGAACCTCAACGCCCCATTGCTGGGGACCACCTCCTCTCCGCCCATGACCATGTCGTCCGGCACCACCAACTCGTCGGTCACCACTAGATCGTGGGATACCACGACCTTGATGGTACTGCGCTGGATCCATATAATCAGCCTCGTATGCCAAACGCTGATCCGATCGGGCTCACTGCAGTGTCTGGGCAGCCACATCCATGAATCGACGACTATACACCTGCATGGCCACATGATCGTGGACATAACTCTGCATCTGCTGCCCCATATGATAGACGGTATGCAATCCAATCGCCTGCATAAAGTAAAAAATATAAACTACATATTTGGCACTAAATTACAGGTATATAACTAATAATAACAGAAAACATACTAGGGCCTCGTATCTCCCGACGTATGGGATGTACCGACCATGTGCCTAATGAACTGGGTTCCCGATAAAAAGTCGGGAAACAGTGCCGTACCATGCCATATAACATTGAATAGGAAAGTGCTGCGGAGGTGGGGTCAAGTCCCCTCGCCTGTCCCAAGTACCCAACTGCTCGTTAAGCCATGCCATAAATGTGTCGTCCGCCCTGGACCGATCATCCCTCTCATAATGTAAAGCATGACATGCAGGCGGAGTCGGTATAGGTTACGACAGGCAAAATTGACGCAATACCCGCTCGGAGGCATGGTGCTCGACAATATCGAGGCATATGAGCGGGACAGAAGCCCTCCAAATATGTTGGCCGAACGTGCAATATGCTGGCAGGGTACCTATCACCTCATCGCTGTACGGCGTCCATATGAACTATCAAATAAGAACACAAATCGTTAGTATGCACAACACTAAATTAATCTATAACAAGTAAGTTTAGTTAGATATTCACCTGTGCGTCCTCCAGCAGATCCAACACATCCCTGCAGAGGGGGAGATTATGATGGGCATCATACTCTCATGAAAGAGTACGACGCATAACCCACCTACAGGCTAGAGTGAGTTGCGGAATTTCTACATTAGCCGGTAGTTGTGGTAGAGGTGGCTGAAACTGCAAAAATCGCTCCCAGACCCAAACCTAACATACAAAGTTGACGTAAAGTATAAGATTAACTATAACTAGGTATAATTGTAATTAATGGACATATTATTTGAATATGTTGTCACTTGTAGAAGCGACAGAAAACCACCAACGTCTCTCTGTGTGCCGATGCAAGCCCGGCACATCTGCCTGTACAGATATGAGATGACAGCACAACCCCAACTATAGATGGTTGTATCCTCGAACAGGGCAATATCATGCAGAAAACGGAGGCTCACTAGGTTCCCCGAAGTGTTCGGGAACAAGAACCCCCCAAATAGAAGGAGCAACAACAGCCTCGTATATCGTTGTACATCCACCTCCGCTGACTCATCGGTGATAGTATGGTGGATCTGCACCAGGTGGTCTCTAATGGGGACCAACTGTATACGACTGGACCCAGACGATACCGCCTCGTCCTCCTGCATGAAACCCGTGAGCATGTGCAACATATCCCAATATGCATGCCGCGAATAATATCTCATGGTCGCAGGCAGTAAAACTGGCAAGCCATCAGTGGACAAGCCATATAAAATCTCAGCGTCCTGGAGTGTGATGGTGGCCTCGCCAATGGGAAATTGGAAAGTGTGTGTCTTCGGTCGCCACCGCTCAATCAAGGCCGTGATCAACGCATAGTCGAGCTGTATCCGACCAATCCTAATAATCTTATATAATCCCATCTCCTCCAAGTTATGGACCACGCGGGGATGTAGAACGCGGGGAGGACTCAAAAACTCCCACAATAGATCCACTCT